CTGGAGAACGTCCTTACAGTTGTGAAATATGTCTTAAAACATTTGTCACAAAAACGAAATTTCAACCAACATAAAGTTATTCACACTGGAGAGCGACCTTATGAATGTGAAATATGCAAAAAATCATTTTCAGCAATGAGAGTATTAAACAACATAATAGAATTCACACTGGAGAAAATCAATTATAAAAGCAAACCAAAGAACATCTTTATGAATGTGAAATATGCAATAAAAACATTCAAAATGAAGTGGAATTTGAAACAACATGAAAGTGTTCACACTGGAGAACGTCCTCATGAGTGTGAAATATGCAATAAATCATTCAGATTAAAACAATCATTAATTCAACATAAAGTTTCACATGGAGAACGACCTTATAAATGTGAGATATGCAAAAAAACATTTTCAGCAAGAACAATTTATTAAAACATAAAAAGCTTCATACAACTCGGTATACCTAAAAATCGCATTTGAAAGTAGATAAGTATGGCCATGCATTTGTTTATTATATCTCTTGTAACTTTAAAATAAGAATTTATATTAATCGAAATATTCTACAAATTTGTACAAAATTGAAAAGAAATAATATTGTCTCAAATTGAATATGATAGACAAGTTACTCCGGCACGTATGGGTCATGCATTATTTATGGCATCTTGTAACTTTTTATTACAAGAAAATTTTTAAATTAAATTTTAAAAAAATATTACACAAATTGAAAAAATGGCTCCGGTATGTCACAGTCTAAACGCATTTGGCAAATAATTCTATGCGACATTTTCACTTACACTGTGGTTAGCTTGGCGGCATTTTCACATTTTTCAATAGTTTTTTCACAAAATTGGAAAAGTGCTCCATAAACATAAACAGTCTAAACACACTTGGGTAAACATTTGTACCAGAGTGGAGATTAGACTGTGCTTAGCCTGGGTAATTTTTTGAAATTTTTAATCCAAAATTACAAAAATATTTTATGGAAACTAAAAAAAAGATATAATAATTTTTTATCCTCAAAAGCAATTGTTTTGTCAATACAAGCAGAAAGTTTTTTTAGGTAATCGGTCAGTAGACTTCGAGAAATGGGTACATAGTATGAAAAAGAAATAGTTTTTAGTAAAAGCGTTTAAAGTTTGGAAAGGAAATAAACCGGAGGAAATTATCATGATCAAACAGCTGTACCTACTAAAATAATTTAAATTGTGAAAAAATCTTCTCGTACACATGTTCCTTTGAATTTGTACACTAGAATACATAATAAGGAAAATTTAAATTTAAATTGGACCAAATCATCTTTTTCCATGATTTTGAATTTGCGCCGTTAACTTCGAAGTTGAAGTTGTTTCTGGTGTTGACCAATCAGAACGAAGTAGAAATGTCAAATTGTCAAAGTTCATAAATGAAGCAAACAAAAATATAAAATAATAACAAAAAACATCAGTGTTAGTGTTATAACATATTAATAATTATCAAAATTTATTCATTACACGTTCCAAACACATAATTTACAAGTCTTCTCGACTTTTAGGCTGAAATTGTTAGATAGCAATTACCATAACCTACAAAAGTTGAAAATGTCTGATGAAACAAATTCAAACACAACAATTAAAGTTGAACCGAACGAATATCCTCAGTTTAAACAAGAACTTGAAGATCATGAAAATACCACAGGCATTTGTAGCAAGAGGGATGAAATTTGTCTACAGCAATTTTTAAAATCTGAGGTTACGGTTGAGGAGGATATAAAGCAAGAAACTATTGATGAGCAAGATGCTGATACAAGTTCCAATGAAAAACCTTACATATTTAATGAAGACATCAGTAATTCAAGTTATTCAAGCACATCATTCGAAAGCGTTTCTGAAAAATGTACAACAAGCGATAATCTAAAGCTCCATGAATGTGAAATATGTAATAAAACATTCACACGTAAGACAAATTTAAAGCAACATAAAATGATTCATACAGGTGAACGTCCTTTTAGTTGTGAAATATGCAATAAAACATTCACAACGAAGCGACCATTAAAGGAACATAGAATGCTTCACACTGGAGACAGGCCTTATGAATGTAAAATATGCCATAAAACATTCGTAGCAAAGAAAATATTAAAACAACATGAAAGGCTTCACACTGAAGAAAGACATTATGAATGCGGAATATGCAATAGAACATTTGCAACAAAACAATACCTTAAAGTACATAATGTAACTCACACTGGGGAACGCCCTCATCAGTGCAAAATATGCAGAAAAGGATTCACAACAAAAGATTACTTAATACGACATGAATTTATTCACACTGGAGAACTGCCTTATGAGTGCGAAATATGCAAAAAAAGATTTCCACACCAAAATTACTTAAAAAGGCATTCAATAGTGCATACTGAAGAACGTCCTTATGATTGTGAAATGTGCAATAAAAAATTTAAATCAAAGGAAGATTTAAAACGTCATGAAATTACTCATACTGGAGAACGTCCACATGAGTGTGAAATATGCAATAAATCATTCGCACAGAAGACACATTTAACAAGACATAAACAGACTCACACTAAAGAACAGCTTTATGAATGCGAAATATGCAACAAAACATTCTCATCGATCCAATACCTTAAATCACATGAATTTAGTCCACACTGGGGAGAGTCCTTACAGTTGTGGATTATGCCATAAACATATGCAACTAAACAATCATTAGGACGACATGAAAAAAATTTCATGCTGGAGTACAACCAGAACACAATGAACAAAACTTTTGAATTGAAAATTAACACTTGCAGAAATAGGAGAAAGACTACAGAAAAATATAAAAAAGAATGAAAATACTGAAAAAAACACAACGTCTACTACACATAAAACACTACTGTATCCATCAATGTATCCAACATGTGAAGAAGAGATAAAACTAGCTGTAAGTCGAATTCTGTCTTGAGGCAATTATGGCATCGTGCCTTAAGGCAAATTGCTGGAACTTCCTGTACCGTAACAAAATGTTCGAGGAATACTGAATGTTTTCAAATAGATTATTATAAATATTGTAACATTGTCTAATTAATATTTATAAGAATTATATAAACTGAATTGCAAAGTTGAAATTATTTGTTTAAAGTATATTAGAACTATAGTCAGAATTAAAAATAAAATCAGAATTATTTTCGATATACATAAAATTAAAAAAAAAAAGTTGAAACAAAATTTTTTTTTCCAAAATCAATTATTTTGTTAAGACAAGCAGAAAGTTCTTTGAATCATTTAAATCGGACGCTTAATTCTCTCAAAAACAGCCTTTTTTACATATTTAGCTCCGTATCTTCGAAATGGCTGGGCCTGCCTTTGCCAAAAACTATTAAACACTTCTCCCAATCATTCAAATCGGATACTCCGTTCTCTCAAAAAGTTGATTTCTATTTTCTGCACCCGTTGCTCCGTATCTCCGAAGCGGCTGGACCTGCCTTTGCCAAAAACTAATCAGCACATCTCCTTATTAATAGGAATCGAATGTTTTTTGAACCATTCAAATCGGTTGATCCGTACGCTCGAAAACGTGGGCGAAAAATTGTATCCATACATACATAAACACACACACACACATCCATTTTTTCTGAAGTATGCCAAAATGTTCAGAAACCTTCAAAACGTCGAAAAATGTTAAAATTTTCAATTCCGATTTTCGGCCCATTACAATAACTTACCCTACGGGAAGTTAATAAATTTTCCATATACATCATTCATATTAAACAAATGGTTTTAAAGTTATGAGATCTATAATACACTAGTGTAACTTTACTGAATACTTTGCTCCGGATGATTTAACAATTGTAATAATTTTTTCTTTTTTTATTAGAGTCCATGTCTCTGATCCGCAGAGAACACAATTTATTTAGTAACATCATGCCATCGTTTTTCACACAATATTATTATGAAGTAGTTACTGTATGTTTTAATTTAAAATTTTGTGTAGAAAAATTGATTTCAACAAACCAAATACTTTATCTTGGGCATTGGAAAATAATTTGACGATCAATAGTGGTTAAAATATTAAATAAACAATTAAGTAAATATTTAAATATAAATATATATATATATATATATATATATATATATATATAATTTATTTATAAAGTTAACCTAAATTGTGCAACTTACCCCAACAAGTCTTGAAAACACTCGTACACATTTTAAAACTATTGACACTTATAAATAACTTATTAAATATGTGTAATTAACGATAACAATTAATAATTAGTTATAATCAATTTAATATAACGACTTTAACACAACGAACTTTATTTAAAACTATTTCAATTAACATCTATTTTTTGCCGACATTTGCAAATATCAAACTGCACGTGTTGAGGGGTTCACAGGACCTTAAAAAAAATGCGCGAAATTTAAATAGATAATTGATATATTTTATATTATAATATTTATATAATTACTATTGTATTATATTATAACTGCTCTTATATTTATATTATTTATATAGCTTAGCAACTTTTAACGTTAATGCAATGGTTTTAATTTCAAAAAATAACTTTAAAACTAATTCGATATCTTGCGAATTTTAAATGGCGGGTGTGGAGGGGTTCACAGGACCTTAACAAAAAAGCGCAAAATTTAAATTGATAATTGACTTTGACATTATATTATATTATTCATATAATTACTATTGTATTATATTATAACTGCTATTATATTTATATTATTTATATAGCTTAGCAACTTTTAACGGTAATGCAATGGTTTTAAATTCAAAAAATAACTTTAAAACTAATTCGATTTTGCAAAAATTAAATGGCGGGCGTGAAGGAGTTCACACAGGACCTTAACAAAAAAGCGCGAAATTTAAATTGATAATTTGAATAATATTGAGTTTAGTTAGAATTTGCACTTTGTACTAATAATTGCAAGACTAACTTATGTATGGAAATGTTTAATACTATTCGATCAAAATAAATTTAGTTTGGCAAAAACAGTTTTTAATATATATTATATACTCAATTTTACTCATAATGTTTATTACTTAAGTAATTGTGTATTGTAAGCTTAAATTTATTTATCATAAATTTAAATATATTTACCATATCATATTTATCTTTTATTCATAATATCCTTCTAGATCATTCAGTATCTTCTATTTTTTATCTCGATTTATGAATATTTTTGGAAATTTCTTTCTTGATTCTATTTGTATATCGTCAATTTTTTATCTTCTAGTTGGAAATTTGTGAAGTCTACCAATTAGAATACAGAGACTTCCTAAAGTGCATCGTTCCGTACCAAGATCTCTTGAACAGGATTCAGGAACAAGCTATGGAACGAGTCAGGCATACTGCTCTTCTAGACGATGTTGGAATGGATACCTTGATGAAACAAGATTTTTAAAAATATATATTTGTATAATAATAATTCAATGCATAAACTTATGTATATATAATAATAATGGGTAGTTTTGAATAAAACGACTTTGAATTCGATATTTCATTTTTAAGCAATAATACAATATATATATACACGTATATATATATATATATATATATATATATATATATATATATAACTATCAAGATATATATATATATATATATATACCGAAAAATGATACCATAACGGTAATGTGAAAATAAAATTAAAATCAATAATCATGTCATTATTAGGTTTTTATTTTTCAATGAAATCATTGAAGGATCTTATTTCATATTGTGAAGACTAATATGAAATAATGCATATATAAATGTATAGACATTTCAAAATTGAATAGCCATAGTCAAAATTATTTATTTCAACTATTTAAGTTAAATATAAACTTCTTCTTTAAAAATATATATACTTTAATTATATTTCTCTATTAAAAATTTATAATGTTTTATTTATAATTATTTAAACATTTATATGTAAGTTATTAAACAATTGCATTCAATTCACTTTTATCAGTAATAGTGTTAAAAAAAATTCATAATTTGCAATTCCACAAAGAAAGGTTTTTATGGTTGGCTAGTTTCCGGCAAATTCAAAACTTTTTTTGAACGTTTTTTATTCATTCCAGCATGTACTCCTCTTACATGTAATCTTAACGAATCTCTTATTGCAAATGTTTTATTGCAAATTCCACAATTATAATTACGTTCTCCAGTGTGACTAATTTTATGTCGAGCTACTGATTGTTTTGATGTAAATGTTTTTTTGCATATCTCACATTCATAAGGACGCGCTCCAGTGTGACTAATTTTATGTTGAGTTAATGTTTTTTTTAATGTGAATGTTTTATTGCATATTTTGCACACATGAGGGTTTTCTCCAGTGTGAATTGCTTCATGTTGTTCTAACGCCCGCTTTGCTATGAATGTTTTAGGACATTTTGGGCAACTGTAAGGTCTTTCTCCAGTGTGAATTGTTTCATGGTATTTCAAATTATGCTTTGCTTCGAATTTTTTATGACATATTTCGCAACTGTAAGGGTAAATTTTTTCAGTGTGAGTTTTTTCATGGTAATCAAAAGTCCGTTTTTCTTTGAATGCTTTATGACATATTTTGCAAATGTAAGGACGTTCTCCAGTGTGAGTTATTTTATGTTGTTTTAAATGACTCTTTATTTTGAACATTTTATTGCATTCTTCACACTTGTAACGTCGTTCTTCTGTGTGAACAAGTTCATGTCTTTTTAATGATTTTTTTCCGGCGAGTGTTTTATTGCATATTTTACAACTAACAGGATGTTTACGGGAATGAATCACTCTATGTTGATTTAAATTTCTCTTTTGTGGGAATGTTTTATTACATATTTCACATTTATGAAGCTTTAGATTATTGCTGGTTGTACTTTTTGTAGAAACGATTTCGAATGATTCGCTCGATTTACTTGAATTACTGGTGTCTTCATTGAATATGTGAGGTTTTTCATTGAAACTTGTATTAGACGTAGCATCTTGCCCATCAATCTTTTCTTGTTTAATTTCCTCATCAATAGTAACCTCAGATTTTAGGAATTGCTGTAGACAAATTTCATCATTATCCATACAAATACCTGTTTTATTTTCATAATCTTCAAGTTCTTGTTTAACTTGAGGATATTCGATTGTTTCAATTTTGATTATTGTGTTTAAATTTGTTTCATCAGACATTTTTGACATGTTTGACATAACTTGAGAAAATAAAGGTCAGTTTTTTTTTGGTTTTATTACATATATAAGTATTTTTGCAGTGATAAAAAACTATGGTTATTGGTTAGAATTTGACGTTTGAATTTGTACGAAATTCAAACTGTCAGCTGTCAAGTTTGACAGGGTTGCCAGATTTAATTCGAGACGAAAAGTGAAGTCTGAAGTTAGATTCATAACAAGTTTGACAGGTGACAGCAAGTTTAAATAAAAATGGCTGACAGTTTCTTATAAATTATTTATTTTATTAAATATTGTTATATTATATCAAAACTACACAATTTAATAAGTAAATATATTATGTGTGCATTATTTTTAATTACAGCTTCAAATATTATATTTATTTTGTAACGATCAATATTATAGTGTACCGAATGTTTAGTTAAATTAGTGCAGGTACGTGTTTTTTTATAATTATTAATTAATACTTGATTTTTAATACTAAAATCAGTTGTAGTTGACATATTAAATAAATCTTAGTGTGTTTTAATACATATCTACGTACGCTCTGCAAAAGTAGATGCTCGTTTTGAGGTCCATACTTAGTAGTTTCTGTTTACTTTGATCATCTTAGATGAAAATGCATTTTCTTTGTACCATAATCAATGCTAATTACAAATATTAAATAAAATTTCAGATAATAAATGGCTGATTCTCTATCTGATTCTATTCTGGAGGTTAAAACCGAACCACCAGAATTTCCTATTGAAGACATTAAATGTGAAATAAAAGATGAGCCTGAAGATGATGAAACATGTCTGGAGAGATTCATGAATTCCGATATAACAATAGAAGATGAAGTCAAACAGGAATCCTATGAAGCATCTCATTATGAATGCGATATATGTAATGAATCATTTACAGGGCAGCATGATTTAGAACAGCACATGCTGGTACATAGTCATGATTGCCCATTTTGTTCAGACACTTTTCTAGATTCAGGCGCCTTAGATATACATCTGAAAATTCATGCAGATGAAAAGCCTTTTGTATGCACAATTTGCAATGAAGCATTTACTGGGCAATTTGATTTGGATCAACACGTTTGTGTTTGTAATGGAGAGACAGATACAACATTGAATAAATTATCTGATAATCAAAAACAAAGTAAGAGTACACAGAGACCACATAAATGTAAAATATGTAATAAGAGTTTCAACTATCCAAGTTACTTGAAAGAGCATTTGCTTATTCACACTGGAGAACGTCCTTACGAATGTGAAATATGCAATAAGACATTCAGACAAATGTCCGTCTTGAGAGCACATAAACTTATTCACAGTGGGGTTCGTCCTCATAAATGTGAAAAATGCGATAAGACATTCAGAAAAATGACCAACTTGAGAGTACATAAATTAATTCACAGTGGGGTTCGTCCTTATAAATGTGAAATATGTGATAAGACATTCACACTACCGGATACTTTAAATAGACATATGCTCGTTCACAGTGGGGTTTGTCCTCACAAATGTGAAATATGTGATAAGACATTCAGAAAAATGGCTGCCTTGAGAGTACATAAACTCATTCACAGTGGGGTTCGTCCTCACAAATGTGAAATATGCGATAAGACATTCAGAACAATGGCTGCCTTGAGAGTACATAAAGTCATTCACAGTGGGGATCGTCCTTACAAATGTGAAATATGCTATATGACATTCACACAAATGAGTAGCTTGAGTGTACATAAACTCATTCACACTGGGGAACGACCTCACAAATGTGAAACATGCAATAAGACATTTGCTCGAGTGAATACTTTGAAGAGACATGTGCTTATTCACACTGGGGAACGACCTCACAAATGTGAAATATGCGATAAGACATTTACACAAGCAAGTAGCTTGAGAACTCATATGCCCGTTCACAGTGGGGTACGGCCCCATAAGTGTACAGTATGTGATAAAACATTTGCGCGGCCAGACACCCTGAAAAAGCACATCGTTGTGCACAACAAAAAGTAATTATAAATATAAAGTATGCAATAAGGGATTTTTCCAAATGGCTGTGCTATGAAATATGTAAAAGATATTTGTAAAAATGGAGTTGAAAGATCTATTAATTAATTTTTGAACGTATGTTTACAATATGAATTATTTTTGTATGTTTTATAAATATAAACAAATAATGTTATAATGATTGTTTCATTGTAATAATGTTTTATATCTGCTGTAAGTTTAATTATTATTTTGTAAACAATTTGAATAAATTTTTGTATTTATTTCATAACATATTTGAATGTTATTTTGTCCATATTTTATATTTTTCACAATTTTACTAGTTTAAATAACTTTTGAACATTTGAAGGTAACATAATATATTTTAATAAAATATATTTAAATTAAACTAGTATTTTTTTATTTAATTAGTTTCCTGAATGAGAACTTTGTGCAAATATTATTAATTTGCAAATATTATTTATTATTAAATTTATCTATTATGATTTTAAGGTAATGTGTATAGTCTTTGGATATGTGATATGAATGTATACGGTAAAGAGCATATTTCAAATCTACAATTTTTATTAATAAATAAAGTATTTTTTATTATTAATAAAGTATTTGACATTTTTTTTAGAAATATGTTTATAATATTTTATTTATAATCATCATATTAATCTGTATCTTTAATATTGTAGTATATGATCGCCTTGTCTACCAGTTTACTTGTTTATTAACTTCCCGTAGGGTAAGTTATTGTAATGGGCCGAAAATCGGAATTGAAAATTTTAACATTTCTCGACGTTTTGAAGGTTTTTGAACGTTTTGGCATACCTAAGAAAAATGGATGTGTGTGTGTGTGTGTGTGTGTGTGTGTGTGTGTGTGTGTGTATGTATGTATGGATACAAATTTCCAGTC